GCGCCGCTGTGCGCCCCTCTTTCCTCTCGCTACCCCGCCTGCCCTGACCCCCTTGTCTAGGAAAGGAAATTGCCTGAGGTCGTTTCTCCGCAGAGGGGCCTCTTCGGGAGCCTGGCGTTCCCTCCGCGGCAGCCTGAAGGTGCTGTGGGCCCCCCTAGGGGGCAGCATAGCCCTGCAGGGGCTTTTAACTCAGCACCGGAACGTCCTTGGGATGTGGATCGGAGCAAAACTGCCGCCTTATTTTTCTAGTTTTGTTCAAATTCTCACCTCTTCCCTACCAAGGGCTGGGTAGCACGTCGCCCCGAAGCATGAACTGGAGTTGAAAAGAAAGCGCATCATAAATGCCCTTGGCAGGCAGAACGAGAGACCGCTGAGCCCTCCGCATTCATCTGAGGTTTGTTTAAACTTTCCTCTGATCCCAGGCACTTTCAGGCTCCTTGGATGCAAAGGTAAAAAGTAGTACCGCTCAGTAGAAAACTCACCATCTAGTGGGGAAAAGGGTGACTGTGAACAGGTAATAAAATGCAACTCGCAGCAGAGCTTGCGGGACACGTTACCAGACAGCTGCCCCCCATCGGAGGGGTGGGGCTGTCCCCTCCTCCTCTTGTCAATCTTGCAAGAAAGATTTCAGAGAGTGACAGCAGGGTTGAAGCAAAACAAGTGAATTTATTAAGAATACAGTTGGCATAAAGCACAAGTGGGCAACTCAGCTAGTAGTCTGAGCTGTACCGCCTGGTGGGGGTCAAAGGGTTTTATACTTTTCCCCGTATAGGTTTCAGAGCTCCCTGCCAGGCGTATTTTCTCGAGGTTTATGTCTGTTATATTTTCTTAGGTTTATTGCAAAGGCTGCTAATTTTCTGTCTTGTCCGCTGAAGATTTAAAGGGTCCGGGGAAGGGTTCGGCATCTCAGGGTACTCAAAGTGGGTCACTCGGACACTAGTTAGCATGTATTTCCTGTGGCTCCCACTCTACCATGAAGCACTGTCCCCAGGGTGAAGGTGGAATTTCTCCCTCTCCAGTTCCCAAATCCAAATTCCCCATGCTTTATCAATCAGAACAAACGTTTTAAAATAATTATTACTGAGCAGTCTCTTGTGGTTTTATCTGCCATTCTGAGCTATTATCAAGCCATTACTTTTAACAAGTTCCCTTAGAAGAGTTCTGGTGAATACAATCAGCTCAATCTTATCAGATTCATGCGTTTGATTCTGCAATGATTTTTTTGAGTTTACTTCCTGATTGTTCTTGGCTTTATGAGATGTTTCTTGGCCTATGAATGAAGTGTTCCTGAAAAACAAAAAGTGTGCGCAATGCAAAGAAAGTTCACCAGAGGGAGCACCAGCTCTTCAGCTTTAAATTCTTCCCAAACTTTATTGAACATGAGAATACAGTGTTATATAAAATATACATGGGAAGATTAAATATATTACTGTGATTGTTATTATGTAGAAATGTAAAGTTGAATTTTCTGAGAGGGAGAGAGAGAGAGAGAGAGAATGAACTACTCATGTGAAATTCTCGGTGGTTGTTTCTCATTCATTTCATAATAGCTCTAGAAAGAAAGTTTTAAAAAACCATTTAAAGCATCTAGTATAACAATTTTATTAACTGATTTGATTGCAAATTTTAGCCAAGCTATTCCTTAAACCTTCATCTTTTTGTGGAAAGCACACTCACTGGAGATTTAACAAACATCCAGTGTTTTGCTTCCCCATTGCCCCAGGCCCTTCCCAACTCCCACTCTTCACCCCTCTCCCTTAGCCTCAAGACAAACACTCCCAATCCCCACCCTCAGAGTAAGGACAAAAATTAGGGCAGTAAATATGCATAACAAAAATTCAATATGTAAAATTTCACCCTAAATTTCTGCTATGACACCAGGGTCCTCCCTGCCTAGAGAAGTGAACCCCACAGCTGAGTTCACATTTTATAGAACCAGGAGGTTATTCAACATGAATCTGAAAAGAAATATCTTTGAGAGAGTTATGAGATATAAGACTAAAACAAAAATTGTATTATTAAAGAAAAAGAACTGTTTTTGAAACTGAGTGAGACTCATTTGGGCCTATTGCTACATGACTCTGACTATAGCCAAGAAATGATGAGGTCAAGGTTAAACAGCCTTGATATTATTTATGTCTTTGCTTCTTTGCTCTTTACTGTGGAGAAGATAAGGGGAAGCTCTCACCAGTTCCCTCTTTTAACTTTTTATTTGTCTTCTTATTGAATTATTTTGATCAAAAGACTTGGTTTCATGCTCTTATTGTTCCTCAGCCATCGACAAAAGCATCAGCAAGTGCCCTCAGACTAAGACAACTCTATAAATAGTGTCTGCCCCTGGGCGTAACAGCCTTGGACTGAGGGATTAAGGTAACTCAATCTATTAAATAAGTAAATATGGCCAAAGTAAGTGGATGCACTTAGGGCTGCGCAAAGGAGCAGTGATGGGTATTTCCATGGTTGTTGCCCAGGCACAAGTCAGAGATTTTCAAAGAGCATTGCTGACTAGAATGAGGTATCACTTAGGGAACTCCGGGGTTAATAATTAATTCAAGCCATTGTGTTAAGTGAAATAAGCCAGAGAAATTTAAAAGACAAATACTGCTTGGTATCTTATATAGAGAAATTAAAAAAAAAATGCTGAACTCATAGAAACAGAGTTGATGGTAGTTGCCAGGTGCTGTGGGCAGGAAATGGGGAGAGGTTGGCAAACGGATACCTACTTTCAGTTGTAAGATAAGTAAGGTCTGAGGGTCTAATGAACAGCACGGTGACTAGAGTTGATGACACTACATTGTATAATTGAAATTTGCTAAGAGAGTAAAACTTAAATGTTCTCACCAAGAAAAAAAAGTAAATATGTGAGATCATGGATGTGTTAACTTCATTGTGGGAATTTTTCCACTATATGTGTTGTGCGTATAAATATATATATATGTATATATACATATATATACACACACATATATACATATATATACATACATATATCCAACCATCACATACACTTTAAATTTGTCAATTATACCTCCATAAAGCTCTGAAAACAGACAAAAATTTATGCCGGAAAACAAATTCTAAGGATTCCTTCACTCTAAAGATACTTAAGTAGCAAAGCCTATGTAAACAAGAGAGATGAATAGGAAACAGTTATTTCAAGAGGTTTCTCTTTTACTTTTTGAAAGGGTGTTTTTGTTTTTTTTAGGTCTTATAAATAAAATCATCCTGTTACATTTAAAAACTTGAGTGTGCACGGTTTTAGGAATGTAAGTATTGTTAAAGAAGTGACAGTGTAAATATTTTTATATTATAAACATCATATTCCTTTAAAGCTCTATATCAAGCCCAGTTCTAAGTACATCGTGGATATTAGGTTGATTGACATTGGACCCCAGTGGCTAAAGCACCAAAGACCTTGAAAACACAGTAAGTCTTTACCTAAACATCATGGATAGGTTCTTTAGGCGAAATGATAAATAACAAAACCAATTTTACCCCTAAGTTAATTGATATAAACAGGAGTGAAATTCCTACTGCATCTCATCAACATTATAACAGAATGTTGAATGACACAATGTTATTTGAGGACCTGCTGCATGTACCTGTCTACATCCTAAGACCGTTTGGATCCTTAACTAAATGTGCTTAAGTGTGTCTTAGAACACAGATACATGGGTAGGCAGTTGCCACCCTGGCTTGGCCAATCTGGCTCTCTCTCCTGGAACATGGAGCTGGGATTCAGACTTGGTTAGACTGCACCAGGGGCTGGAATCGAAACATGCAAACCTTGGGCAGCCACAGGGGAAAGAGTCACAGAGCACTCCTGGCAGAGAGAAATCACAGAAGGAGCAGGCCTCCAGAGAGAAGCAGAGGCGACGTGGGGGCACCGTCTGGGTTTCTGACATCCCTCGCTGCCCATCCCCGTGCACTATGTACCTGTCTTCCTGTGTGGGCATCTCTGCGTGCAACATGCAGGAATTCTCCCAGCTGCGAGAGGTGCACACTCATCCCCACGTTCACTCTCTCACGCTAGCACACGGGCTCCCGCAGGTGACTGTGGCCACGGTAGCCCAGCCCGTGTTGTGGAAGAGACAAGTCTGAGCAGAAGTCGCCGGCTGCAGATGCCTGCACTTGTTTTCTGAGAGTGTGTTGACATGGCATGGCTTGTCCTCCTGGTGTCCCGCAGTGCAGCCCGGTGGGCGCAGATCTGAGAGGAGGCAGAGGGTAGGGAACCGGGAGGGTGCAGGGCGGGCTTGGGACATCCTGGGAGCCCAGGATTGGGGGACATGAAAATACAGAGGGAGGGGAGACTGCTCCCCTGTGAAAATACCCTCCTATTGGATGAATCTGCATTTTTACATTCTGTATAAACTGCTTAAAAAAAACTGTAGAATACACAGTGCTGGATAAAATCATTCAGCCAGGAGTTTGTCAAGCAAACATGCAAACTCTCCTTCCCCATGCAGGACACGCCAAGCACACTGCTGCGCTTCGCAGAAGAGTCACAGATGTGCCACAGGTTACTGGTCCCTCAGCTCAAGGGGCACTCAGGGCTCCCAAATTGTCACTTTTCTCAGGGTGCCCGACTGATGTGGGGCTTGATGCAGCTCAGGAAGGGGGCGCAAGGCCAGGGCGGTGCAGTGGGGAAGGAGCGGCGGGGTGCACTGGCAGGGGCCTGGGCACCTGATCTGCGGGCGGGCGGGGCCTGGGCTGGTGCTGCCCCTCTAGATGTATGGATTTTATATTAATTTTGAAACATAGAAAAAATCATGTTTTTTTTATACCAAGCTCCACATAGATGCTCCTGAATCCCCTCCAGCTGACCCCAGAGTGCAGGACAACTTTTTGCTGTGAGTCATAACTTGAAAAGATGTCATATGCCTTAGAGACTTTCCTAGGCATAAACAAATGCATTTTTTGTTTATGTGTATATACATTATCATACATTTATACAATTATATTTATGTAAAATCATATTTTAATATACATTTATTGTAAACATTTATAAAATTATATAGTTTTACACAAGTGGAATAATAATACCCATATAATGCAAAAACTGGCTTTTTTTCTTTAAACATAAAGTTTACCCTTCTTATAAGCATGCATAGAACTATGTCATGTTAAAAAATAGCTGCACGGTATTCCATATAGTAAGGCTGTATTGATGACCTGTAATTTATTTTATCAGTTTTCTGTTAATAACAGGTTGTTTTCAAGATTTGTTTTGTTTTTGCTATCACCATTCATGTTACAATTGATATTTGCAGAATAAATACCTAGAAGTGGAACTGTGGTGTCAAAGGTCATATGATTTCAATTTTTGATAGATACTGTGAAATTATTAGCATACTTTAGCACCATTTTACTCTTTAACTTACAGTTTAAGAGGTAGCCTGTTTTCCCACACAATTTCCGATAGTTTTTTAAATTGTCAGAGAGCTGGAAAGTACTGTCTTTTTTCTTTAATTATGGGTGAGAAAATGAAGGGGAGATATGAGAAACTAGATTGATCATACTAAATAATTTGATCAATGGTTATCTGTAGGATAAAACATAAGAACTGAATAGAAATTTAGCTCTTAATTATTCTATGAGCAGTAAAAAAGAAAGAAAATTATGATAAATAATTTTGGTAGGAAAACCAACTTTGCTTCATTTCCAGAGTGTTTTAATGAACACTGATGGTGAACATGGTGTCTGTCACCCTGGAAGGGCAATTATAGAACACAGATCATGGGAGTGAGAACTAGTAGATCTGGAGCATAGGCTTAAATATCATTGGTCTTACATATTCATTTTATATATAATTAGTAGAGTGATTTGGGGCAAATCATTGAACTGTTTAGCCCTTCTGTGTCTATTTTCTCATGTTTACAGAAAAAGGGGTTAGGACCTCAACACCTTGAAAAATGTCATGAACCACAGAATGTCTAAATTCAATAAATATTACTATGCATGAGGATTTCCAAAGTAAAACCTTCTGATTTTACGTCTCCAGTAGGTGGCGATACTAAAACACACCAAAATAGTTGCTGATCTGGCAACTGAGAGCAATTCTCCCTTTAGGATTCATTTTAGAAATGTTTTTTGCCATTATAGTAAAATTTTAATGTTATACAAAGAGTGCATTTATAAAATTTATTATGTTACATTTAATATATTCACTTATGGTATCAGTTGATTGTTAATTTGTTCTTTAGTGTACAGAAATCAAATCCCAAATCCAATTACTTCAGAGGACATGATTTTAATCTCTCATAATTTCTTTCTTTCTTTTTTTTGGTTCATCCTCACCTGAGGAGATTTTTTCCATTGATTTAGAGAGAGTGGAAGGAAGGGTGTGAGAGAGAGAGAGAGAAACATCAATGTGAAAGAGACACGTCAATTGGTTGCCTGTCACATGGGCCCCGACCAGGGCCATGTCAAACCTGCNAATTGATATTTGCAGAATAAATACCTAGAAGTGGAACTGTGGTGTCAAAGGTCATATGATTTCAATTTTTGATAGATACTGTGAAATTATTAGCATACTTTAGCACCATTTTACTCTTTAACTTACAGTTTAAGAGGTAGCCTGTTTTCCCACACAATTTCCGATAGTTTTTTAAATTGTCAGAGAGCTGGAAAGTACTGTCTTTTTTCTTTAATTATGGGTGAGAAAATGAAGGGGAGATATGAGAAACTAGATTGATCATACTAAATAATTTGATCAATGGTTATCTGTAGGATAAAACATAAGAACTGAATAGAAATTTAGCTCTTAATTATTCTATGAGCAGTAAAAAAGAAAGAAAATTATGATAAATAATTTTGGTAGGAAAACCAACTTTGCTTCATTTCCAGAGTGTTTTAATGAACACTGATGGTGAACATGGTGTCTGTCACCCTGGAAGGGCAATTATAGAACACAGATCATGGGAGTGAGAACTAGTAGATCTGGAGCATAGGCTTAAATATCATTGGTCTTACATATTCATTTTATATATAATTAGTAGAGTGATTTGGGGCAAATCATTGAACTGTTTAGCCCTTCTGTGTCTATTTTCTCATGTTTACAGAAAAAGGGGTTAGGACCTCAACACCTTGAAAAATGTCATGAACCACAGAATGTCTAAATTCAATAAATATTACTATGCATGAGGATTTCCAAAGTAAAACCTTCTGATTTTACGTCTCCAGTAGGTGGCGATACTAAAACACACCAAAATAGTTGCTGATCTGGCAACTGAGAGCAATTCTCCCTTTAGGATTCATTTTAGAAATGTTTTTTGCCATTATAGTAAAATTTTAATGTTATACAAAGAGTGCATTTATAAAATTTATTATGTTACATTTAATATATTCACTTATGGTATCAGTTGATTGTTAATTTGTTCTTTAGTGTACAGAAATCAAATCCCAAATCCAATTACTTCAGAGGACATGATTTTAATCTCTCATAATTTCTTTCTTTCTTTTTTTTGGTTCATCCTCACCTGAGGAGATTTTTTCCATTGATTTAGAGAGAGTGGAAGGAAGGGTGTGAGAGAGAGAGAGAGAAACATCAATGTGAAAGAGACACGTCAATTGGTTGCCTGTCACATGGGCCCCGACCAGGGCCATGTCAAACCTGCAACCCAGGTTCGTGCCCTTGACTGGGAATAGAACACGTGACCCTTTGTGGAGCAGACTGACGCTCTAACCACGGAACTACACCATCCAGGGCTTATAGTTTCTTTAATTCAGTTAATTTTATACATACTTGTGGTTTTAATTAATCAACGTATTTAATTATAAGGCTAAGAGTGGATATAGATTGAACTTCATTTAATTGAAACATTTAAAATTCTGTATAAGAAGATAGGTGAAGGGGAGCCTCACATAAGTTCTCTGGATATCTTGTTAGAAAGTCAACTTTTACTAATTGTGTAATTATACAGAAAATCAAGGACATCAACCAAAAAATTGGAACTTTACAAAGTTGCAAGATTGTAATGTAATCTTCAAAAAATCAATTGTATACTTACATTAATGACATGTAGTTAGAAAATGAAGAATTAAATATAGTAACTTAGCAACAAAAGCCTTGCATAAATAAATAGTGATTTATCTTGATACATAAAATATATATTAACAGAATATAATAAAACCTTAGTAGGAAAAATAAAGGAAGACACTCATAATTAACAGGTTGAATAGAGTAAACATAAAAATGCTATTTATGTTATACATAGATGAAATGTAAATATACATTAAGAGCTTATATGGAACATTTTATACAAATTGACAATAGTAAAAATATGGAAAAAACAGCAAGACAAGATTATTTTTTAAAAGATAATAATAATTGACATAAAATTTCTAAACACTTTACAAAACTTTTGTTAAAATTAAATGGTAACTGGAGAACAATGTTAAGGTGATCATTAAAATAGAAAAATGCTTTACGATGGATTATTATGATAGTGATGTCTCACTGCCAAAATATAGCATGTTTACAGATCCTTGTATAAAATATGCATATTAATATAAAACACTTCTATAAGAATTAACACCGATGAATGAAAATGCTAGTTATTAGTATGCAGGTTAGAAGATTTAAGTAGGGTTATTTTGTGCTATTCAGAAAAAAGTCTTTTACATTTTGCATTATCTTAAAAGAACAAGAAGATATAGATTAAGAATGAGGCATCACTTACAGAAAATATTGTTACGCATTGTTTCCTTGGCAAGACGTGTGTGTAATCTTGCAGTAAAATTTTTAAATAGGACAGGCAATACTCTGAGTTGATTTAAGAGGTGTCTGAAATGAAGGATAGGGGATGAGCTCAGAGAAACTGCAAATTGCAATTTTCTTTTTTTAAAGGAAGAATTAATAAATCCTAGCTATCAAATCTCTTCCTATCTGAACACAGGAACCTAATGGACTAGAATAAGTGGTAGCTAAACTCTCATAATCTGGACTCAGGAACAAAACTGAGTAAGATAATACAGGATACTTATGTCTTATTACAGATTAAGCAAAATTGAAAGGAGAAAGGAGCCTAAGAAAACCAGTCTCATTTTGTCAAGTGCAGAGCATTCCTCTGTCTCCTGGGCACGCAGCTAGACCATTTACCTCAACCTGCCTTGAAGGTAGGTGTGGCCACTTAGGGGCAAGTGAGTTCAGCTTTCCACACCCGGCCCATGAAAACTTCCTGTGTGATTCCTCCTCACACTCTGGTCCATCTCCCAGCCAAATGCAGAGGAAAAAATTGGTCAAGGGCTCCATGGCCTAGGGTATGGTAGAGCCACAGATGGGAGGAGCTTGTCTCTTAGCTGATGCTCACCTGAAACATTTGTATTCAACTTTGCATGAATGAAAAATAAATTTTCACTGTGAAATTGTGGGATTTGTTTTATAGCAACTTAGTGCTACTTATTCTAACTAGTATGTGTTACTGGATTCTTATTTTTATTTGTGAAATTACATATTTTCGTAGTTGAAATTAATTTATAAGTGATATTTATGTTACTTTCTTCCCTAATACATCCATGAGCCTATTTTTGTATGTAAAGAATGTTGACATGTTATCAATCTTTAACACAGTATCATATTGTTAGTATTCTCTTGTGTTACTTAACTATTCCCAAATGTTTGGCATTAGGTTTCCAGTTTTTCACCATAAGTTATGCTACTTAGTATCTCTACTGATTATTTTGGAGATTTTATTCAAAATGGAATTACCCGGTCAAATAATGAATGGTTGAAAAGGATATGTATGGTCAGTGACTAACACACAATCTATGAATTCCTAAAAATCACTGAGTTGTGCAAAATTGTGCATTACCCACAAGGGAAAAAAGGGGAAGTTGCACTTATTTGAAACTAAAAACTTCTGCTTTGTGAAAGGCATTATTTAGAGAATGAGAACACAAGCCAGATTTTGAGAAAAATCTTTGCAAAACACATTTGATGCAGAACTGGTATCCAAAATATACAGACTTTTTCAAATGCAACAAGAAACAGCCCAGTTAAAAAGTGTAAAAAAGACCTGAACAAACACCTCACCAAAGAAGATATAAAGATGACAGCAGTAAAAGGTGCTCAACATCATGTCGTTAGGGAATTGCAATTAAAACAATTACAATTAAACAATTACAATACTACACAACTATTAGAATGCCTGAAATCCAAACACCGACAACACCCAACGCTAGCAAGGATATGGGGCAATAAGAACTCTCACTCATTGCTCATGGGCATGCAAAATGGTACAGTACTTTGGAAGATACTGGGAAGTTTCTTACAAAACTAAAGATACTCTTACCATATGATCCAGCAATCATGGGCCTTAAATTGAAACTTAACTGCACTCAAAATGAGTTGAAAACTTCTGTTCACACGAAAATCTACACACAATTGTTTATAGCAGCTTTATTCATAATTGCGAAAACTTGGAAGTCCCCAAAATGTCCTTTAATAGGTGATGGATAAACTAGTACATTCATACAATGGAAAATTACTCAGGAATAAAATAAAACCAGTTATCAAGTCACAAAAACACACTGTAGAATCTTAAATGCATATTACTAAGTGAAATAAGTTAATTCAAAAGAGCTACATACTATATGATTCCAACTATGTGACATTTTGTAAAAGGCAAAACTTTGGAGACAGTAAAAAGATAAGTGGTTGCGAGGCGTTAGGGGGAGGCAGGGATGAATAGGTGGAGTACTGAGAATTATTAGAGCAGAGAAACTATTCTGTACGATACTGGCATGGTGCCTACATGTCCTTGTACATTGGTCAGAGCCCATAGAATGTACAACACAAAGAGGGAACTAAGGACTTCAGTTACTAATAATGTGTCAATATCGGCTCACCAATGTAACGAAGGTACCACACTTTTGCAAGGTATTAACAACAGTGGAAACTGTGTGTCTGGGAACTCTCTGTGCTTCCCACTAAATTTTTCTGTAAAACTAAAACTGCTCTAAAAGAAGTATTAATTAAAAAACAAACTACACAATACACGAACACCACAGGGCAAAAATGGGGTTAGGGACATGACACTCAAATACTTTTATCAATGGCCTACAATGATTTGACACACAATGATTGGGGGGGGGAGGGAATCCTATTTTAAACTTACTTTAAGAGCAAAATTTTTAAAAACTAAAATGGTCAGTGTTGGTGTGACAAAGAAGAAATCGCATCATCTTCATGAGTAATACGTGTACATAGTAAGGGATGTGGGTACATGTGGCTCATAAGCGTGATGCATGGAGAGAGCTGGTAGGAACTGGAGGGTGTGCATGTGTGTTTTGTGTACTCCAGCGCACCTCAGCTGGGTGCAGTGTTCCTAGTATTTGTTGCAGACAAAATCACACATAAAGAAATGGGAGATTTACTGTATGCTCAAGTTGTTCTCAAGTTAATTAATTGTGCTAGAAAAAAAATTGATTTTCAAAGGGATCATTATCACAAAGCTCACTAGAATTAAAATGTTTATAAAAAACAGCAGTCTTCTGCTCCACATTTCTCCCCCACAAGTGGGCCTCCAATCGTGACTTTCAACTTTGCCTGTTTCTTCTTGTAATTAGGTCCATATTTTTCAGAAAAATGCTTAAATTGCTATTTCTTTAGTTACAAAGTTAGAAATTAACTACTGCATGCATTTAGCTTTTGAAGCTCTCACGCCCAGCCCCCTGACTCTGCATATTATGTCCATGGACACTCTCGGTTATTATGGTTTTGTAAATATTGTCTCACATTAAGGCAAGTGGTTTACTGTGAATGTCTTTCCTTCCCTGCAGAATTTTTGTCTTTAACATTTGACTCTTATTAGTAGTATTTATTATGGTTGGTTTCACAGCTGTGTAGTGGTAACTGAATTTATATTTATATTTCTTTTCTAATTCCAGTGAAATGTGAACATTGACATTATTTGTATCTGTTCTTTATATATTCAGAAGTTGAAACTTTCATTAGTTATGTTGTCAGTTTGGAATTTCATCGCTTTCTTTTTAAAGCATTTATCCATGTCATTTTACAGATGTGTTTTCTATTTTTTTTCTGATACATATAGTTTTTAGTGTGTGTTTTACACTTTAATTTATTATGGTGTGTGATGTGACATTTGGATCTAATTTATTTCTTCTTCATACCAATATCCAATACTCCAGACGTTTCAGTGCCAGTAATTTTTCCCCTCATTGGCCTTGCCATATTTGTTAGTTTTTAGAATTATGTGTGGCTAATTGTTCATGTCATCTTTTCTCTCAAGACCTGTGTTATTCTCATTGAAATTGGTGGTTCTTCTATAATGTTTGTACTGGGATTCTCTTTGCATCTTGTTGAACTTTACTTCCTTGAGTATTGTTTTAGTATTACTGGCTCTGTTTCCTCTAATATCTCTATTATTTGGTGTTTGGATTGCCCCCCCCCCACACACATACACACACTGTCATCATCTGCTGTGTCCTTTAGCTGGAAGTTGACTTCACTGTACACCTTAAGCACTATTCTACTACCAATGACAGTATCCTCACTCATTTCCTGACCTTCTGCTCTTTTTGATCTTTTTACCTCAGGGAGGCAATTGTGTGTGTGTGTGTTTATATGTTTTATTGATTTGAGAGAGAGAGGAAGGGAGAGGGAGAGAGAGATAGAAACATCAATGATGAGAGAGAGTCATTGATCGGCGGCCCCCTGCACACCCCTTACTGGGGATCGAGCCCACAATGTGGGCATGTGCCCTGGCCTGGAATCGAACCAGTGACCTCTTGTTTCATGGGTCGATGCTCTCAACCACTGAGCCACACTGGCTGGCTGGGGAGGCAAACTTTTTAATTAGTCTTGGTTAATGTGTTTTTTTTAAAACCTAGTCATGGTTTTTAAAACATTCACATTTTGTTGCTTTTAATATATTTCTTGTTGGATTTAGCTTAGAATAAGCACTATGATGATTCATTCAACATCTGTTCAGAGGTACAAATGCTAGGATTTATGGAATGAGGTTTTCACTTGGTCCTTGCAAAATCAGAAGGAGACAATGAAGTCATGTGAATAGAGTAGCTTATTAACTGATTTTTAATGAATTATACTCATGATCAAGGACTTCACCCAAGGGTAAATACTAGAGCATAAAAGATTAGCTTTTGACTAACAAAGCTCAGGGTCACTTATCATCTCCCTCTTCTTGGGAATATTTACTGACCTCCCTGGCTCAAAGGAATCTTTTGAGGCACAGTGTTTATTGTCTGTACCACTTCCTGGTCATTTATATTCTGCCTCTGAGAGTTGTCATCTTTCTATGTGTTAGCATTTTTGGCCCAATTAAAAGATAAGCTCCTGAAAGGTGGGTCCCTAATAAGTTCCTTCTCTTGTATGTCTATGGTGTCTAGATCAATTCTTCACATAAAGCAGATGTTCAAAAGTATTGATTGCAATTAGTCAGTAACTTTGGATCATAAACTCCCCTGGTGTAAAATTTTACCAATAAACTGCACTACTTTCTTTTATATTCTCCGACACACACGTGCGCGCGCGCACACACACACACATCTTTTTTTGTTTTCTTGTCAGATATCCTTGCTGACACATTAGATTTTGTGACTCCCTATTTTGCCAGATCACATGTGACACAATATTGCTAACTACCACCTAAAAGGAAGTCTCAGAGGGTCCCGAACAGCATGCATCAGCTTCACAGCTCTCTCCCCCTCTTCTGTTCTGCAGGATTGTACTTTTAGGGATGTGTTTCTTCTCACAGCAAGACACACAGGAAGTTCAAAAATACATCTGTAAATGTACTTCTCAGAAAATGTTTTGGCATATAGGATTACTGATTGGAAGCAGGCGGCTCCACTGACTTCAAGAATATCCTGATTAGATGTCGTTATTTCCTTTGTGGCTTAAATAACCGTATATTAATCTGAATTTGAAACCATTGGTTCCAACCTCTTTGTAAGTTGCTAGAAATTGCTAACCACTAGCTTAGTAAGAAGGGTAAAGCAAAAATCGTCATTCGTTTTTTTTGAGGTTGCAGATAGATGAAACTTCAGAAACAAAAGATAAATTTGGCTCACGTTGCACTGACTGACGGACATTGTTCAACTCAATGATATCAGCAGAAGTACACAGATAGGAAAGATGATAAACCAAAGTTCTGATTGAATGCGCAGCTTCACAACAGGAAAAACTTACGGGGTCAGGCCACATAAACATTCAGAGAAGGGTTACGCTTAGAAGGAGTCTCCTCTATTCATTGTTATTTAAAAAATGAAGATCTGTTGGCTTTAAAAATCTAATTATTAAGCAAAGTCTTTGACATTTTTAAAGATCTTATCGTAATGTCTCAAAGAAATAGATTCTTCTAAGACCATTTTGTAAGGCAGTTTATAACTTCATTGATATCCACAGCCTGCACTTAGTGTGAAGTGTGTGTTTTAATGGATTAAATTGTTCTACGTTAGATTCATAATCTTTAAGGTCAAATGCTATGCCTTTAAAACAGCTATCCCATTTGACCAGAAAAGACAGCAACACTATTGTGAAGTGTTTCATATGTTTTAAATGAGGCAAGATTATCTATTGTTTAGTAATTTATTCTTTTGATGGTGACGAGAAAAGAGAGCCGCCTGCTTCATTGCTAGAGAAGCCTCAGGAAGCACCGAGCAGCTTGTAGTTTCTCGGGTCTGGGATATTGCCAACTTACAGGGTAGACTGTGCTAAGCTTGAAATGTGAACACTAAAAATGTTTTAATGGGAAGCATTAGAATGATTCCAATCTCATAAAACGCTCCTTTCTCTCCGTTCTCCAATAACAGACCAACCCCTCCAGGCTTTCTCTAGCCAGGCTCTCCCTGGCACCCGTGAAACGCTGCATGAAAGGGGCAGAAGGACTGAAATTCATTTAAATGGAGTCATTTTGCACATGTGTAAGTATTGCATCCATTTATTTTGTCATGAAGATGGCTGGTGAAGGAAACAGTGGAGAGATAAGAAGTAGGGATGGCGTAGAGCTGAATTCGCAACTGTATGTGAGTCAGCATCTGTTAGACCAGATGAGAGGCTCGGCCTTGGTGAGGGTTGTGCGTGGAGTCTGGAGGGAATGCTTTCTTGTGGGTGCACAGGAACCAGGGAAACTCCAACCACTGAGCACTTCAGGCTTTTATAGAATGAGGTTGGTCTTGGATATCTGGAGTAAATAGAAGGAGAGGCTTGCATACAATTAAATGAGTTGGCTCAACACACATGTCTCTTGAATACTAGGACTCCCTCTTAATAGTACTCTGTTGTCTGTATCTGTGAGTTTTTTTGCTTTTTGTTTTAATCCCACATATGAATGAAATCATGTGGTTCTTGCCCTTTTTTTCTGACTCATTTTACTTAGTGTGATCCTCTCAGAAGCCACGTTGTCGAAAATGGCAGTATTTCATCTCTTTTATGGATGAGTTGTACTCCATTGTATATATCTACATATCTATATATCTATATATCTAATCTATGGTTATATTCTATCTATCTATCTATCTATCTATCTATCTATCTATCTATCTATCTATCTATCATCTATCTATCTATCTATCATCTATCTATCTATCTATCTATCTATCATCTATCTATCTATCATCTATCTATCTATCTATCTATCTATCTATCTATCTATCTATCTATCTATCATCTATCATCTATCTATATCTATCATCTATCTATCTATCCATCTATTATCTATCTATCATCTATCAATCATTTATCATCTATATCTATCATCTACCTACCTATCATCTATATCTCTATCATCTATCTATCATCTATCTATCTATCTATCTATCTATCTATCTATCTATCTATCTATCTATCTATCATCTCTATCTATATCATCCATCTATCTATCTCTATCTATCATCTCTATCTATCTATCATCTATCTATCATCTATCTATATCATCTATCTATCTATCTATCTATCTATCTATCTATCATCTATCTATCTATCATCTATCTATCTATCATCTATCATCTACCTATCTATCTATCTATCATCTATCTATCTATCATCTATCTATCTATCATCTATCTATCTATCTATCTAATCTAATCTATCATCTATCTCTCTATCTATCATCAACCATCTATCTAATCATTTTCTTTAGCCCATCATCAGTCCCAGGACACTTAGTTGTTTTCAGTCTGGGCTGTCACGAATGACGCTGCAACAGAAAGGAGGGTGGTAAGAGGACGGATCAGTTGAAGAGGGTCAAAAGCACAGTGATGAAGGAGACTAGACTTTGGGTGGTGAGCACACAATGGACAGAGTATACAGACCTCGTATTATAAAGTTGCACACCTAAAATTTATATAATGCTATTAATCAGCGTTATCCAATAAATTTAATTTTAAAAAGGAGGCAGCACTGTGTTTGGTGCTGGGGTGTAACGGTCCATTAAACAGAGCTCCTCTCATAAGGATCAGGGGACAAATGCAGTCAGAACACCATCTTCTAACTGCATATAAAATACTTTCTCCAAATCCATAGCTACATATCACCTTTTAGACACATTTCCCTATATATATTTCTAGCATTTTCTATGAATTTATATTTGTTTTTCCATTTAAAACTGAATGTGTAAATGGACACTTTAAGACACATGAGGATGCAATTGAGGTTTTAAATATTTTAATTTCAGCATGATAGTAACTTCGCTCTTGTCACAATTACCTTTTTTTTAGTACCAGTGCACTTACTTTCTCCATTTCCACCTATTTCTGCAAACTCCAAAGCAACGTTCTAGTAACTGCACCACAGACTGCTGACTCATGAAGTGGTAATTGCACAAAAGTGCAAACGTTGTCTGAGAGACTATGCAGGGCATTGTAAAATGAATGGCGCATTTGGGAGCTGATATATTTAACCCCAAATTGGTGCAAAAAGAAAGTGTTTTAGGCACAATGATGATTGATCGCAAAATTTTGGTTGTAAGAAGGGCTAATAATGTGAAGTCAAGGGCCACCTGTAATTTGGTCCAATGTTGTAAAATGGACATTAGCAATGTACATCGCATAACTCATGAGAATGGGGAAGATTATTGAAAAGAATAAAGTCCCTAATCTCAAGAAATTTAACATTTGAATAATTTAATTGGCTGATGATGGAATGAAAGTACTCGTGCAAATAAAAGATGCCGTAAGGTGGAATCACCTGTTAAGTGAACTTAGACGCTCTCCAGCTTGACATGAATTTAAAATTTTCAGCTCTAGGTAAGCATTTGGAAGCCAATCTTTTTTTTCGCCTATCATTTAGTTTAGTGGTTCCCACATTTTTGAGTGTGAGGACTCCTCAGTTGCTAGTGGTGATAGCCTTACCTCTTCAGTCTATACACACCACCTGGTACAGTTAGGCTGGATGTGAGGGTTTTGTGGGCTAGTACTATGGCCTCTGCACAGTGAGAAGAGCAATGGCCTGAGGGGCAGTGTGTCCTCCCATCTTACTTTTTGACCGTAAATTGAAATTGGATTTCCTCCAAATATGTAGAGAAAATACATGATTCAGGGAGAGACATTTTAGGGTCTAAGAGTTACCGAGATATTATAGGGGAAGGGAATAAAGGGAGAGTTCATTACTGTGTATAAGATAAAACATCTCAAGGCCTGGATACTGAGTGTCCTTGCTTGTCTTGAAGTTATTAATTTTTAAAACTTCCATAAGGTTTGACATAAATATGACAAGGGAGTAAGGGATTTCCATTTTAAAAGGTTGTAAGTATAGCTAATAGTAATTTGTTCCACTCACTCTTCTTTCATCTTAGCAGGATCGCTTATAAAAATTAATGAGAATTCCTATCTCCCTCACTCCCTTTCTTCTCTCTGTAAACATGTATTGAGCACCTACTGGCTCCAGGAATTCTGGCTCGGTGCTCAGAACAAAGGGAGGAAGAAAACAGAGTCAAATGTATAAGTGATCTAAGCATAAAAAATTCTAAAACCACAGGAAAATAGAGTAGTCTGTTTTCCCACCTCTTGGATTTAGAAAAAAATTATTCAACAAATAACCATAAAGAAAAAAATAACTATATCAAACCCAGAACTTTCATAGAGCAATATAATGACAACAACAACAACTAACAATAGTGCTGGGCACTGATAGATATGTATCAATAAGGCGGGTTCAATTACTGTTCCAGTCTTACAGATGAGATATATGAGATACATGGATATGAAATACCTTTCTCGAGGCCACATAGCTAGTACATGGCAAACACCATAAGCAAGGTTAAAAGACAAGCAACAGATTCAAAAGAGGATATTTGTAGATTGTGTAACAGGCAAGGATTAATTTTCCAGTCTATGTAAAGAACTCCTATAATTCAATCAGAAAAATTCTGGTCAATTTGAAAATGGGCAAAACAATTTAAAGGCAAGGAAATCCAAGTGTCTCCTGTGCATATGAAAATATGCTCAACTTCACTGACTGGGAGGAAAATGCAAATGAAACCAGTAATAAGATGGCAGTTTTTATCTGTTGTGTAGGCATAAATGAACATATCTGGCAATATCAAATTTTTCTAAAGATATCTTAAGGCCGTACTTTAATATACTGTCAGGTGGGAGTAGACTGGTTGCATCCAGAAAAAAACAAAAGCATATCCTAATATTTAGTGATTTCATTTCAGGAAATATATATCTACAGCTGAAATGTTTAATGACTGGCTTTCTGGTTGGGAGTCAGGGAGTTTGATTTGTAGGTTTGCCATTTTCCATGGTGTAAATGCTTCCACTGTGGTCATCGCAGAAAGCAGAGTAGGAAAGATGTGCGCCAACAGCTCTCAGGGGTCACTGGAGCTGGGTTCAGGACACTGCTGTGACACATTCTGGCACATGAGCATGAGACACAAGGAAGCATGTTCACTGAAGATCATTGGCAGCAGAACAAATTTAAAGCGAAGTAAACATCCATCAGTAACCAAATGAATATATAAATTGTGATGATTTGTGATAAATAAGGTCACACTGCAGTTAAAAGCATTGAACTATTTGTACATGTATTACTATAGGCCTGTGTCTACCCATATTGGGAGAGTTCCCAAAACATAATGTGTGGAGTGATACAAACAAATCACATGACAACATTATTATGTCATTCTATAATATAAGAACATACAATATTATAACAGATATTTTAAATTCTCTATATCTATACATGAAATAGAAGGTTGTATATGAAAGTGGACAATGGACTAGAGGCTATATATCCGATTACACTGGCCTTTGGAGCGTGGGGGAGATAATTATATGGGAGGGAGGTGTGGTGATGATTAAAGGCTGTATTGGTAATATTTGTAATATTACTTCTTTTCTCACAGCATAAACTATTGGCCACTTTGAACGGTGTGTGAAAAAAACTCTAAAAAGATTCCTAGTTCTTTAACCTATGAAGTTATCAGCTGAAGATGATTGTTCTTAATAGCAGCTTTTCCAGAACCAAAGGAACATTATCACAATAAAAACACATATCAATTGTAAGACTTATCTCAACTTCAGAAACATTAAAATGTTTATTCAAGTGTGCTCTAGATGAGGGATATGGTAATTCAGCTGACTGGAAGAGTTTAGCAACTGCCAGGCATAACATTTTATTACTTTTTGATAATAGATATATGCTTAAAGTAACACAACAATTATTAATGTATCTAGAGCTATAGTAAACATTCAACATTTGAAATAAATATCACTGATTGCATGTACACAGGACCCGGCTTGATGTGAAGCTATCTATCAGAGCCTTCCAGAAACTGCCAAGCTCAACCACTTGGAAAATAGACAGCAAGGCAGAAGTAAGTAAAAATGCCTCTGAGTGGCAAGTTCCACATGCTTTGTCACAGGGTGCATGTCTTTTCCAATAAAGTTGCATTAAAAGTAGGGGAGAAGATGGGACACAACAGCGAGGAGAAACGATAGCCTGTGACAGAGATGAGAAAAGACAGCAGCCGAGAGCACCTTAGAAGCCTGCAGCCGGGGCCTTTTAGTATAAGTGCAAACCGTGCTCCATGTTGCAATACTCTGGAAGCCCTCAGAGTATAAAATCTTCTTATGCATTTGTTTCTCGTTTCCTTGTTCTGTGTAGCACAGATGGCACCACAACCAAGGTTTTTAATCTTGCCTTAGACTCATCAAGAAAACGCAAATTTTTCTTTAGTGTGCTCAGAGATGCAAGGTTGAGAAATATTTTCCTAACATCTCAGCTTACTGTGGAACACTCTCTGAAAATGCCAGGTAACGAGACATCACTTTATTTAAAAAGAAAGTTCATATTTGTACATATTCTCTGCCATCCTGGGCCATTCTGAGAAGTAAGCATTTTTTAAATAACTAGTGTAATGTGTTTCCATTAGATTTCGGGTTTTCCAAAGAGTTTCCATCTTAGTCTTGTCATATTGTTTTCAGTTAGGAGATGATGGGATTGATGAAGGTGAAATCCCAGGGGTCACACAATCTTGAAATGACTAACTTTGTTGTCTACGCAGAGTCATTGCCAGAGCCAGAAATGAAGTCCAGTTTCCCCAAGACCTGCCTCCTTTGTTGCTGCTGCCTTCTCATGTGAAAAGGCACAAGGCCACGCATCTTCTTTTGGAGCAGGAGGCCCGTCTGATGCAGTCTGAGAAACGGTGTCAACAGGGGTTCCTGTTATGCCAACGTCTGGGAAACTGCATCTTCTATCAAGAGCCCAGGATGCTGGTCTCTGAGTGGACCATTTTGTCTCTGGAAAAACTGGGAAGTCATCATAACATAATCAAATACAATATCCTGAGATTAAAAAAAAATCCCCACTGTTGTCATGAATTCAGCACAGAGAGAGGCACAGTGTGACAGGTGCAGCATAAAAAGAAAAAAAATGGGACTCCGGGAAGCTCGCCATCAATTTGAAATGTCCTTCTTGGGAATTACCCTGCTCCTGGGGTAGGATTGCCAGAGAAAATACAGGACTCCCAAATATGACAGTTGGGGCATATACATTTTGTTGTTTATCTAAAATTCAAATGGATCTAGGCATCTTGTACAGGTATTTGCTAAATCTGGCAACGTCACGCTAGGGACCATTCCTCTTTCCAGCCCACAGCACGGGCGTGCCTAACTGGCACAGCGGAGAGGCTGTGAGAGAAGCCCCTTCATGCCCAGGCCAGGCGGTGGGGAAGAAGAGACCCCTGCCTCTCCCCCTTTGCCCTTTGATGCAGAAAGTTCTTATGCCAACCGAGTCCTAGAAAACAGCTCCTTTTGCTTGCTCTGTGCTCCTTGCCTGCCCCAGTACGTCAGGATTCCTCTTCAATAAAATAAACTGTCCTTTTTGGATGCCTGAGAAACTTCCACGACCAGGTCAAACAGAGAAATGTTTCAAAAAAATGTGAGACTGCTGCTTGCTTTCTCAGCAGAACAATAACACCCATCCTCTCTTCCATTACATGTGCACACGTTTGCCTTTATATACATAAAGTTGTGTATATACTTATATCTACATATATCTTTTACTAGAAATTATGCTTCCAATACAAATCAGCAAAGTGCTAATCTTCGTGCACAGGTTTACTCGGCAGCCACCACATGTCCGATGGGGGTGAGGATCTGGGATGTGGAGACAGGACAGGCATATTCTGTGTCATCACAGAATTTATAGGGTCAGACCATGTACAAACTTTAATGTGTGATTAATAATAGGAGGAGGGGGTACAAGATGTTTTTGGTTAGAAAACCACTTGGACCTTTCTGTGTGATTAAATGACATTTTTACCTAGCATTTAATGGGTTTTTAGACATTCAGCCTTTGTGCCCCTAGGAAGAATTCTCTAATATGAGGCAGTGGGAATTCCGAATACAAGTCCGTATCTTACAGTGATGTGGGCGTCCCATCTGGAGGCTTGTTGTTTGAACTGCAACTCACCTATTAGATTACCAATAAAATTATTTTAGGAATTAAGACAATGATGGTAGCAAATTACTCTCTTCTGTGGAATCTAGCAAAGAAAGCAGTTTAATTAAAAAGCCTAAGCTAAGCTCTGGGGCTCCGGTGCGGAGGTGTGTGTGTGCACGTGTGCGGCGTGAGACAGCGAGCTGCTGAGGACTGTGGTTGCTCGTGTTATTCGCTCTGCTGCTTAGACTTGATCTTGCACGGGGGTTGCCCTCTGTTACAGCACAGCGACCCCTTACAGTGGAGAGGGGTCAGATGGGTGAAACGCTGTCTTGGCCCTGCAGTTGAGTAAAACACATCTGTAACTGGGGCTCTGAATAGAGCTGAGTATGTTCATGGACAACTGGTTGGAGTCCTACTCACATTAGCATGTAGCATGGAATCACTCTCTCCAACCATGCTTTTCTTTTAATCAATAAAAAGTTTGACCGGTTGGTGAAAGATTGAGTCAGATAATTAAGTTCACCTCCAATTACACCTTCTCCATTGATCTATGTTGAAAAGAAACCAGAGGTTGACGCGATGGACCACGGCCACAGATGTAAAATTAGGGCTGCCACTTAATTTCCATTTCGTCTTGCTAGGCTGTCACCATTTTAGGTTACTTCCAATCGTTTTAAAGAGTGATGTTATCATTTCGGTACTAGAACCTTGTAAAATGTGAAAATATCAATATTACAAAATGGATTTATTCCTTTATTCCTTCCCCTAAACACAACACTCCTATACTGGAGCAATATTATCTATGTGTGGCAGCTTTTAATGCAAACATTTACAAAAGTTTAGGAAGATCTGATTAACTTGGAATAAAAATTTTAATACCCATTAATCAAAAATTAGTAAAATCCTTTTATAAACACACACACACATACACACACACACACACACACACGTTATATAGTTAAAATAAAAGCTTATTACAAGGAAATCACATTCCGCCAGGATGAAAAAAGCTTTTTCCTGAGTGTGCTTTATTAGAAAGTGTTCCATAACAGCAGGATTTTTCTGTCTAGTTTGATAACTGCATTATCCCCAGGATGTAGAATAGTGACTAGCACATGAAAGGCACTCAATATATACTTGTTGAATGGCTTCTTAAGTAAAAATGGAAAAGATGTACTTGGGGAGAAAAGATGGAAAGTAGGTGGCCCCTCCTTCTTTCCCTCCTTGCTCTTTCCTTCATCTCTGCATTCAATAAATATTAAAAGAGTGACTACTGCATATCAGTGTGTGTCCTACACTCTAGGGTCATGGCAGTGAACAAACATCATCTCTGGCCTCTGGAACATCAAGTAGCTTAAGTCACTTTGGGTATTAGATGATTATGTGTCTCCAAGATTTAGCTGTTTGGCAATCTAAAGACAGGAAGGCTGATGGCCCATAAACACATCCTAATACCTGAGCTGAGCTTCCACAACATTAGCACCATTTAATGGGCACCACCAGTGACAACTATGTGAAAAAGAACCAAAGGAATATGCGAGATTACTGAGTATTATTCATAAAATATATGTGTGGCCATCAGTGAACGAAAGAGTGTTTTCATGGTTGCAAAGACATAAAAATGACTTTATTACATGCAAATTTTTATTTTCCCCAGTAGTATCCTTTGTCCTTAACTGTAAATTGTTTCCATGTTGTGTTCCAGTCGGTTCTCGTTTTGATTTCAATTCATCTGCCAGTGCTTCTCCCCATCTCCTCAGCCTACAGGCACTGCACCCCCAGAAGGCTCCCTGAGCACAGGCCTTGCTGAAATCTGCTCAGGGTTTACCGTGTGACACCTGCACGCATGAGATGTTGCACAACATGGGTGTGTGCTGAAGCAGAGCAATAAAATGAACACTGTGGCCCTCCTCCGCCCTCCAGGACATTGCCGGCGCCTCCACCTGCATGTTGCTTTTCCGTTCTTGCGTCTGGCTATTGTCTGTTCTCTCTCCCCCCGCCTGGAAGTTCTCCTTCTCGAGCCTTCACCCCTCGAAGCCCCGGGCAGGTCCTGTGTCCTGCATGAAGCTTTCCTTCATGCAACCCGAAATTCCCCTTCCCTGAGTCTTCAGAGCACCTGTGGGTCACTTTGCTCACTGGGCATTTCAGGATATGCTGCCGTTGTCGTGTGGCGCTGCTTCTGGGCTTTGTGCGCCAACGAGACAGTGAGAGCTCCACAGGTAAGGGCTTTCCTTCTCCCTCGGTGGGCTGGCATTGCACTTAATAGATGCTTGACAATTGCCACTGGCCTAGATGGAAAATTCTGTTGTACAGGATAAACAAGGTAGTGGCTAGAACAGTGAGTGGCATCTCAAAACCTGTGTTCAATTNGTAAAGATGCTTGACAATTGCCACTGGCCTAGATGGAAAGTTCTGTTGTACAGGATAAACAAGGTAGTGGCTAGAACAGTGAGTGGCATCTCAAAACCTGTGTTCAATTCCAGACCCCTGATCCTTACTAGGTCAGTGTAATTAATCTCTCTGGTAATTTCCTGTTTACACACACACACACACACACACACACACACGTTCATGGGGTTGTTGTGAAAATTAAATGAAATAAGTCTAAAAATCCTGCATATGTTTTTTATTGATTTTTTTTTAGAAGGAGAGAGAGAGAAACATCTATGTGAGAGAGAAACACAGATCAGTTGCCTCCTGCGCACACCCAGACCAGGGATCGAACCCACAACCCGGGTTTGTGCTCTGACTGGGAAACAGACTGGGGACCTCTCAGTGCACAGGATGACGCTCTTACCAACTGAGCCACACTAGCCAGGGCCATATATTGGTTTTTAATGTTTGCTTATCTGACTTATGTATGATATATCCACACTTAGCAGTATATTCAAGATTTTATTGGTGACAGAGCAATACTCGCTGTGACATATGGAACAGCCTTGGGCTCTTGGGCAGGCATCTTTTATCTAATCATATCTTTATAATTTTTGAATTATGGAGCCCATATTCTCTAATCACCTTGGGGTGCTGGGATCTCCATTTCAGTTTAATTGAATCACATAACTTAAATAATTAATAAGCTGAGAAAATTGAATAGGAGGTCTGGTTCAGACTTTGGAGTTTCCAATCAGGCAATCAGAAACAATAGGGACAGAATTTCAAGGAAAGGATTGAGAATAAGTGCCCATTATGAGAAATGTGTTCCAAAGATAGATGACTCCCACATGCTACATTTATTATATGAAATGTCACAGCATTAAGATAAAATTCCCTTTAAAACATCTGAAGGAGAGATTGTGTTTACATATGCACAAGTGATTATTAATATCATTCAAAAAGTTTCATTTGCATTTCAGAATCTTTGAGCTGAAATGGACGATAGTTTCTTATCCATTGCATCAGTTTTCAGATGAGGAAATTGAGGCCCGGGAGGTTTCTGCGGCATTGTTACAGGTCTAGTTAATGCTGAGCCTGGGCTGGATTCCAATTGTTCTAAATCCGAGCCCTGGGTCGGTCCTTTCCATAAGATCCTACTGCCCTGGGATTTCTATTCTTTTAAAGTATAGTTATTTTCAAACTTTTTGAAGTCACTGAATCTCTTACGAAGATGACAAATGTGTAAAACAGTGAAACCCAGACTTGTTATATTGGGAGAAGTATGGGAAGTTGGAACCTTAATCCCCTTTTCTGTCCTAAGTAGTGGCAGCCAAGACACTTCCCCAGGGCTCTGCAGAACGGGGTAAAAAGTCTGATTAAGTGTGTGCGAGGGTTTTGTGTGTGTGTGTGTGTGTATTAATTGGGCATCATTTTTTTTGAGTGTGTCTTTAGTAGTAGTAGTTACTCAGGCATATTCTTTTCTCCGCAGTTTTACTGAGAAATACAGCAGGTCCTCCAGTAATTTTTGTTGAACATTGTTTT